ACTCTGCAGGCGTAAGGGCTTTAAATTTTGCCTTTCTTAATCTCTCACTCAAATAGTCAACTTTTTAACACGCATTCCCGATAATACGAATCATTTGCCTTCTCTACTTGGCTTCTGTCTTGTTTCTGATCTTAGTCAGTGCTCAGTTTCTCTAAATCTGTTATCTTATTCTTCTTCATCATCAGAATCCCTCTATCATCACACCTCTTACAACTACCTTAAAGCTGGGACACTTTTTTGTTATTTTCTTTGTGATAGCCCTCGGGTAAAATCTTTCGTTTTCCTGCTGACAATGTGCTAATGTAATTTTTTGGATTCAGGCTGGTATGGAACCTTTTATTTCTTATCGAAGATAAGAAATAAAAGGTTCTAAGCCTATCTTCAATTTTCTCCATGTTTTTTTTTTATTGTTCTGTGGCAATTTCCAATTGTAACCATTACTTCCATATTTATTGCCAAAACAACTCTCCAGAAAGCAAAAGTTTACATACAATTGCTAGAAACATTTTAAAAGTTTTTGTCTAATGTCAAAGACCGCTATTCTCAGGTCACACAATTTTGTCATCTCAAAAACTAGGCTCTAGAGATTCTTTAGCAGTGTCTATAGTCAGTGTAGTGTCAGTGTAGTGTCAGTGTAAGGGCAAATCTGTTATTCCGTCTTTCTTGCATGATTTAGATTTTGTTACCTCACATAAAGGCAAAGTTGAGTTGTTTGAAAAGAACTTTTTATCAATCTCATTTCTTGGTTTCAACAATCACAACCTACCTGATATAGCTAACAAACAGTTTGATCGATTGCTTGACATTTGTATCACTCCAGCTTCTGTATTTAAAGTGATTTTCTGCTTAGACTCTTCTACAGCTGGTTTGGACAACATACCTGCCATAGTCTTTCAGAAGTGTTCTTCAGAGCTGTTGTCTATATTTTAAAAACTATTTAACAAGTTTTTGACTTGTTTTCCAGTCTGCTGGAAAACAAGACAAACACTTGTTAAATAGTTTTAAGAGTCTTGTTTTCCAGTCTGCTGGAATGCGGCACCTGTTGTCCCTATTTTCAAAAATACTGGAGAGCGATCTAACTCGTCTAACTACCGTTCACTATCATAAGCAACTCGTCTAACTACCGTAGTCTCACTATCTTAAGCAAGGTTTTTGGGTCTTTAATTAAAAAACACTTAATTTCTTTAATCTTGGATCTAATAACTTTCTTCGTAATCATCAATAAGGATTTCAATCTACTTGTTCTACAGCTGATTTGTTAACGGTAATAACCGATAGGTTTTTTCTTGCATTAGGTAGATGTGGATAGGTTAAGGCTATCACTCTCGACACTTATAATTTTGATAAATCTTGACATTTATGTCTTTGATAAAGTTTGATATGCTGGTCTTCTCCATAAGCTCTCTTCTTACGGTGTATCAGGTAACATTTATAAGATTATTGAATCCTTCATGACCTATCGTATAATAAAAGTTGTTCTCATTTTCTGTAATTCCAGAGGTTCATCAAAGTTTAATCTTTGGCACTACTTTTTTTAATTTACATTTAAAGTCTCCCAGAAATCACAATCAAGGTGACATTGTATGTTTATGATACTACCATTTGTCTTGATAAGAAGCCAACACTCTCTGATTGGTTGGAAGGGGTATTTTAGCTTAAATCTCACTTTTGCTACAGCATCAGGATCTTCAGTGGCTGTCGAACTTTAACTCAGATAAAACTCCAATTTTTTTAGCTAACCGTTATCGCAAAATTCTAGATCTTTTTATATTTATGAACAGTAATGTATCTTTCCATATTTACGAAAGGTAATGTACTCGATTAATCACCTACCTTTCGTCTTCTAAGACTAACTCTTATTTGTTTTGGAAACGATATATAGAATACATTTCAAAATTATCATCTAGTAAGGTTACATCTCATTATTTTGCTTACTACTGTCTTACTCCGGATTCTATTTTTTATCTCTATAAATCTCAAATCTGCCCATGTATAGAATACTGTTGTCATATCTGTAGCGGAAATTCGAATGATGTCTTTTCTCTTTTTTAGACATGTTACAAAAACGCATGATAAATATAGTTGGACCTGCTCTTGGAGCCAATCTTTAACCATTGTCACATTGTTGTAATGTTGCTTTTCTTTCTCTTTTCTATAAATACTATTATGGGCACTGCTCTAAAGAGCTAGCGTCTCTTGTGTAATTTACTAAAATTCATTCTCGTCTACTTTTCATTCCATTTGGTCTTATCCTTTTACTGTGACTGTTTCTAAATGCTTTAAAAATTCTTTTTTGTCTAATTTTTCTCCTCAAACATCAGCTCTTTAGAATTCGCCCCTTCATCTTGTATTCCTGATTCGTATAATTTGCAATATTTCAAGTTGTCTGTTAATTGTTATCTTGCTTGGTAAAATTCTTTTTTTTTTCTCTTCCAGTAACTCCAGTAAAAGGTTGCAAGTAACAACTAGTGGTTGCTTGCAACCTCGTTGGAAGTGAATATGTTTTTAAAAAATTTTTCTTTGTTAAAATAGTAAACTATCATATGGTACGCTTAAGTTTTAAAATTTTAAGGCTAAACTGTTTTTTACAAAAGTTTGCTAAAAATAAACTTAAGAAGTGACGTGAGGAAGTTTTTTATTAAAAAGTTTTTTATTAAGAGATGTTTTTTATTAAGAGTAGACTACTGTAAATGGTAATTAAATATACTAAAATTTATAGGGAGCTATTTTATGGTACGAATTAGTTATTTATAAAAAAAACGGTTAGAGTGGTTAAAACATTTAGAGTGGTTCAAATGTTCAATTTGTACCTCTCTAACCGTTAACTCTCTAAAAACATTTTGCAACAGCTGTTTTGAGAAAGTATTATTTTTATTATTATTATATTATTGCTAAATCATGTTTTATCAATTTTACTTCTATTTACTTGCTTATTTCAGTTTTCTTTTTAATCTTTAAGTCTATTTCAATTTAATTTTTTATCTCTAAAGTGGTTAATTTCGACTTGTTTACAGTGACGGATTAGAACTTTTAGGGTTCAGGGTTATTTTATAGAAGGAGGCCCCTTTCCATGTTACTAATCAAAAATTTTATTTCCAGGTTTTTTAAACAAAAATCTTTTATATTGAATTGGGGTTCCTGAAACTGCGGGGCTAGAGAGGCTAAGCCCCCCTCCCCATCACTTAATCCAGCACTGCTTTAAGTTTACTTTTATTTACTTGTTTATCTTTAAGTTTATTTCAGTTTACTTTTTTATCTTTAAACTAATTTCCATTTACCTGTTTATGTTTTTGGTATAACATTCAAATAATAATTAAAAATTTCAATGATTTTTTAAGGATATATATTGGTAATTCTTTTATTTAACACTTTGTTTTTTAACTTTTTTATAATAGGATATGAAAATAATTATAAGTAAGCTTGATTTTTATCTCTATGTTAGTTCACACTCCACACACCTCAATAAAACATTTTCCAATAAAACCCATCTTTAATCAAGCTTGTCAAATTCAATGTAATTAATTTTATCAACTCAATCAATTAATATTATTTGTGTTTAAAAAATCATTTGAAAAATCAAATCGCGTCTTTACAATAATACGTTTCAAAATAACAAAAACGTTCCAATATTATATTAATAATAATATTGTATAAACAAATCCAATTATATAAATCTATTGTATTATTAATTAAATCTTATAATAATTATTAAATATAATATTTATATTTAAAAAATAACAAGTTTTTTCTCACGTTATTAAGCAAAAATATTTAAAATATTTAAAAATTTTGTTCAAAAGGTTTGTTTAAAATTAATTACGCCTGCTAATGATTGCAATCGCGTTTTGTACAATTAATTCAATTGACAATCTATCTGATTTAAAGTAGGTCAAAGGTTTCTTTCGTAACATTGTTTAATAGAGTAACTGTTTGCTTGATAAACCAATTATTTCCGAACCCATAATTTTGTACCACTCAAATTCGATACATCTTCAAATCGATTTTGCAGAATATAAATGTTAAAAGCAAATATACAATGTCCTATTTTTTGAAGTCAGTTTAAAAAAACAATTGTTTGCATTTATTTTTAGCGGAAACTGTATGTCGTTCATTACAATGACGGAAATATTTTTATTACTATTTGTGAAAATTTTGTTATACTTAAATTAGCGTATATTTTGTCAGTTATGTATAATTTGGGCAATAACATCATTATACTAAGAGAATATATTTTCAGTAACAATGTCTATGTTATTTAATAGTAACGGTTTAAATAAAGATTGCAGCACAGAAAATAATAATTCGTTTCATAAAGGTAAATACATTAATGTCAGAACTTTGCATGTTTTACGCTTGTATGTCTGCCGAATTGAAGTTTAGACGAGGAGAATTAAGGTGGTTAATATTTTACTAGTTAAGAAAAAAAAACGTTGCAAATCCCAAAAAAAAAATTTAAAGATGATTATTTAATCATCTGTTATCAAACGCTATCTTGCGTTTTCCTTTACATTAGCGTTGCCATTTTTTTTTTATTTAATTTGCAACGGAGTTGCGATGGTATTACGAAATTGTCGCACTTTTTACTAAATCTCCCTCAACCAGGCAATTCCTTATTAAATTACTTAATGAATCAGGTGCTGATTATTATTCTATTTTAAATATTCTTTTTTTAAAACACGAAACATTAAGTTAAATAATGTGTGTATGTATGTGTATACGTGTTTGTGTGTGTGCGTACGTGCGTGTGTTTGTGTGTGTGCGTGCGTACGTGCGTGCGTGTAAATATAATTCCGCCAACTCAGCGTATAAATAGAATCTGCTATTGCTATGTTACCTTTACAATTAATAAAACAACAAAACTATTTTTGTAATATATATATATATATATATATATATATATATATATATATATATATATATATATATATATATATATATATATATATATATATACCTATTAAAAGCTTAAAAATATACATTAAAAATAAAAAATTATTTAGATGAAAGTATTTATCTACCCTGCGAGTCTAAATATTTGCAAAAGTTTTCATCTGAAGAAACCTCAATTAGATTGTCTGCACCTTTAAAAAAGCAACAGACTTTTTATCAAGAATGTTCAGAAGTTGCAACTAGTTCTTTACGGTCATTGTCTATAACTGAAAGTGATAACCAGCATTATCGACCCCAATTAGGTAACTTGACGGTGATTCGGAGGTGTTCAGCACCGGCTCTATTAAGCGCTGATAAATTTTTAACGACGAAATCGCTAACACCAAGCGTCGAAACAGTCAAAACCAACAACCGTCGTAAAAATTGTTATGTTGATGAACAAAATAATAAAATATTTTACGAATTCCAAAAGTCTAATATTGACGAAGAAAACCATTTTAAAGTAATGCAAGACAATATTCAATCGCCATTATTCAATAAATGCGAGTTAGATAATAACAGTTTAAAAAAAAACGTTAATCCGGTATTCAATAAAAATTTCATAAACGAAAAAGATAAGATGGAGGATATTCCTAAATCTAAAAGAAAAGTGTCTCAGCAAAAAGATTACTCTGATAAACAAGTATCAAGTATTGAAACTACACCCCACCACAGGACTAGAAAGTTTAGTTTACCAGAAATTAGTTATAATTCGAGTTCAAAAAAAGATGACGACGACGATGACGATGAAACTCACGTCAACTTTAGTTCTAAAGCAAAAAAAAAACTATTTAACGATTTTCTAACTTTTAAACGAAAAAGTGCAGATGACTCCCACCTTGTTAAAAAAAAAAGTTTCGATGACTATTACATGAGTAAAATAAATGACTTTAAAAAAAATTCAGAAGCATACTCAAGAAAACACTCGTACGATTCTAGAACACCAGAAACGGAGCGCAAAATAAGTTTAAGTGAATCATTCAAATCTGCCATGTTTCGGCGCACTGGTCTGCAAGAGGAGAGAAAAACTTCTCACGATGAAAACAACAATGAAAAAAGAGTCAGAAAAGACAGCTTAAAAAGATCAAAAAAAGAAAGGAAACTAGCTTCCGTTGAAAATAACACTTGCACTAAATCATGTAAAAATCTGCTTCCAATAAATTGTGTTGAAGATAAAACAAAAAAGAATGCTTCTGTGAAATCTCATGATAAATTTTCCGATGAAATCAATCAAAACTTAAATTTATCACACATAAATAAAATACAGAAGAACAACAATTTTCATAGGTAAGAGTAAATTTATTTTGTGTGAAATTATGAAATTATTTTTAAGGCCAACCATTTTGAGATTTTAAAATTATTTAAAACCTTTAATCATTTCTTATAATTCTGAAGTAACTGTAGCTATTTATAAAAAACTTTCTTTTTTTATAACTTTTTGTTTCAACTAGTTGTGTGATTCCACCTTTTGAAACTTGGCCAAATAAAAAATTAAAACAAGACTCTCTGCCATTACTTCATATTGCTGCATCAGAAGGAAATCTGGATCTTTTAAACACACTCCATAATATAGGAGTTGATATTAATGAACTTGACGATTCTGGGTGGCCCGCTTTACATTATGCCGTTTGTTCTGGGAACTTTGAAGCAGCACAAATATTAATTGAGTATGGAGCCTCAATAAAAGATTATTCTCTGAAAGTAACAAACAACTACTGTGCTACTGTTCGAAGCTGCATCCAGACTGCGCATATAGAAATGACACTTTAATAAATAACTACTTTTTTTTTAAAAGGAAATATTAGCTGTTTTTTCAAATTGAAAAGAATTATGTAACTCTTTAGTTTATTTCATTAATATTTTTAGTTTTTTACATTTTTATTTTATGCATGTTTTGTTTAGTTTGTAAATATTTAATAAATAAATTTGTTATTAATCTTTTTTCAGTAGATTCTCACAACAGATTTTCATTAAATTCTTTTAAGGGATTAAATGAATAATCTTCTACACAACATGATCATGTCTTGTTGATATAAATAAAAAATCGATCTTGTTCATACTGTACAAAATATAAATTTTAACTTTCGTTTTGAAACTGGTTTAGTCAACATAATTTTTATTTTTTAACTACAAACAGTTTAAATTCAAATTTTAGTTTTTCTCATTTAATTGTTAATTGGGTGGCTTAATATTTTAACATAAAGTATGAAGTAAAAGCGGAACACAAATACAAACAGAATATTTTCCTGCCGAGTATTTGTTTTAGATTGATAGCTAACCTCTAATGTTTTCTGCACCTAATATGATTTTTACAGAATCTTCTTTGAAAACTTTATGAGACATGGATTGCCCATAAAAACAAATATGTAAACATTGCTTCTTTGACTGGTGTGCTTGGGAAATGATTTTAGAAGGAATATAATAAGTAAGATATTCTAAATCAGATACACAGATTACAGTGATATGTTCAACATTAGAAATCTTTTACTCTTTAATACAAGTCAACCCAACCAGCACAAACACGTATTTTTAGAATCTAAAATGTTAACACCTTTAGGACGTCTAAATTCAGATAACTATAAGGCATCTAATTATAATTTTCTTTGAGACGGCAAATAATAGCTGTCTCAAGCCGTCTAAAAGATGACTACTACCTATTAGAGCACAACTCGAAATTAGTAATTAAAACCGACGTTAGAAATTTTTATAACTGGGAATTGGACTCTTCGAATTTGTTAAAAAACGTAATTCCGACTTTCAATATTGCACTAATTCCGACTAATTTTTTAGTATATAAGTCGGAATTAGCAAATGTGAAATAAGTAAGAATAAGATTACTCAAATCAATACAGGAATTGTCCAGTGGGCACTAGAACGTTTTGTAAACGTTTAACATTTTTTTTATACAGTTAGGTTATAGAAAAAGCTTTTACCGATTCAAATTTAGGTGTAGAAGCTTAAATCTGCAGAGATTTTGAAGAAAAAATTTTCTAAATTTTTAATTATTTTGTATTCATTTATAATGCATAGATTATCCAGGTCATGTTTTAATAATCCGGAAATTTGGTTGGGTCGAATATCCTGACAAAATCCGGAATAAATTTTCCTTCTAAATTTTCTTTTGGCTGAGTTGTTTCAAACTTTTTTCCAAACTTTTTATAATTTTTGTATGATTGATTAGTGAAAAAGCTTAAAAAACAAATATATAACAAAAATATATACCTAAACTTGTATGTATAGAAAACATTTTGAATATCCGGAAAAACTAAAAGTTAAGAAAAATATCCGTAATTCCGGAAATATCCGGATAAAGATAATCCCTGATAATGAAAGTATACAAAAACGTTATAAAAATAATTTTTATGTTATTCTATAAGGAGCTCTCTTCAAATGATCGCGTATCAACGTATTGACCAAATCGAATTATTTTGCATGTCACACCAATGTCTCTAAAAAAGAAACACCATACGAATCTTTTATGCATTTTACTAGCACATACAAATGATGTTACATATGTACACATTTATACAAATATATTCAGGGTAAATTCTATGCATAAACATTACACGTTTAGTTTATATAAAATTTTTTATAAAACGTCGTTATCGTTTGATTATGGAATAAAATTAGAAAAACAAACATGTTATATCAACATTTTACCTATAATTACTTTATACAACTTGAACACTTTTTAATTCAGCCGGTGACGGTCCTACAAAATTTATTCTATATATTAATGTAAAGAAGTTAACGAAACCAACAAATAAAACTTTTCTTTATTATTTATTTTTCATCAAATTCCCTTATAATATTGCATTTATTTATTAAAAATGAATCCAATAAATATAAAATAAATTCCATAAATATTACATATTAAAAACTTACTATAGATAACTACAATGTAATGTTTTGTAAATATTGTAATGCTTTGTAAAATGAAGAATAATGAAAAATATTGATCCCTCCCCCAACCCAATGCCTATGTATTATCAACTCCCTCGCTAGTTCTCCTGAATTAGCCAATGTATGTACTGAAGCCCTCGTCTATCTCTAAATCATTATGCTGTCATAAGTTGCGCCTAATGCTGCATTTTGTTTGTATATATATATATATATATATATATATATATATATATATATATATATATATATATATATATATATATATATATATATATATATATATATATATATATATATATATATATATATATATATATATATATATATATATATATATATATATATATATATATATAAACCTGTTGGTGTGTTACCAGTAAATAAAACTGTTACTACTTTAATGTGCGGAATTGTTACCTTGTTACCTGTGCTGAATTATTACCTCAATGTGCTGAATTGAACTGTTATCTAATGATTATTTAAGTAAGCTTCAAGTAATGAAATTTACTAAATTGCAATCATATTTAACTGTAAACTAACTGAAAAAAAATTTTGGCAATAGTAGAACTAAAAAATAAAAAAATTTCATAAATTACATAAATTTCATAAATTACATAAATTAAAATTATTTAAGTCTTTTAACAAAAGCTCTTATCATAAAAAAATAAATAGTATTAAAAAAATATAACATTAGTAAAAAATATCTTACTTGTTATCTCTAAAAAAGTTTAAATAAAAGTTATACAACATTTTAACTAATCATAAATCAACTTTTTAAGAATTGCATAAAGTATTTGTTCCTGTTCTAATCATACATGTTCTTAAAATTTCACATTGTCATTGTCATTTAACAATTGATCATCTTTGAATATACTTAATGAGTCACAAACTGACAAAGTTTATAGTACAAAAGTTAATTGGAATCTAATCAAGCCTAAATTTGAGTCAAAAATTCCTATATGTTATTGAATTGAAGTGACTTGTAAATTTGACTTTCTAGCTTGTATCATCAGTAACATGAACCTTTTATCATCAGTAACATTAACCTAATAAATATTTAAAAATAATTTATTTAAAATTATTTATTATGTTGATAAATATTAACATAATAAATATTTAATTCAATCTTTAATTATACTTGAAGTACCTAAATAAAACAGATTTTATAATAATTATAATAAACAACCATAAATATCAAATATTTATACAGATCAAAAGTATATAAAAACATGAAATTTCCACAGTTTGTAATAAATCGGAAACTATTGTTTGAAACGCATTTTGGCTTTTATTTTTATTCATTTGTTTCTTCATTCATTCATTAACAAAAAAGTTACCCAAATTAACTGATAAAAGACATCTATTATAATAGATGTCTTATATTTATCTGGTTTTAAACATCTAAAAGTGTTAACATTTTAGATGTGAAAAAAAAAACATATTTGTGCCGGCTGGAAAGTGCTCTCCTAAGTCTTTATTTTTCAAAAAAAAAAAAAAAATCCACTTTTTTGCATATATTGCAATATTTAAATGATAGTACATACATAGAACACGCTATACATACATCATCAAAAAGTCCTCCCAGTTTCAAATTTTAAAAGTTTCAAAAATATAACTCGCCCATATTTTGAAAACTCTATAAAAACTCAGATTAAGCACAAATATGCGCACCTTTTAAAAATTGTATTGAAAAATCAAAATAGAATCAAATATCAAAAAGGTATTGCATAATAGAAATGAAATAAAATAACAACAGCACAACCAAGTAATAACAACAAAAAATAACAATTTTTCATCTGGCTTGTCTATAAATAATTTTTTTTAAATAAAACCTTAAAACACTTGTTGTTTGGAAATTACTAAATATTATCTTCAAAAGTAAAGCTTTAAAAGCTATTATATGTAAGAACCAGACAGTCACAAATACTGTCTAATATTTTTACATATAAAACAATATTTATTAAAATTATTGCCCTCTATAAAAGACACATTGACATAAACAAAGTATTTTTCAAAAAATTTGAGGTAATTTGCTAATTTTGCTTTAATACTTTAAGAAGCAATAACTGAGGTATTTACCGTTTCAATATATTTTTTTAACTTGTTTTAATAGCCAACCATAAGCTTTACCAGAAAAATTAAAAATTGGTCAATTGACGGTGATGCCCTAAATTTTAACCACAGATTTGTTTTGATGTATTAAATGGATTATCTAAAAGAATAATTCTTAACCTACCATACTTCTTTAGAGAATCTTTAAGAAAGGATAAAGTTAGGAAAACAAAATCTTGTAAAACAAATGTTTGATGAATAAGCTGTTGAATAAAAAATATCGGCTATTGTATTTTCATTTAGTATACTTTTCGCCTTCTAATATTAACTGATACTAATTAATATTAAGCAAAGCAACAAACTTTGGTAAATTTTATTGATTTTGTTTTCATATAACATTATTTTCCATAAAATGTATAAATGATGTAATAAATTCTAAATAATATTCTGTTTGCTTTTGAAAAAAAAGGAAAGCAATAACCCGACGATAAAATTGATAACAATGGCGTAAATATTACTTTGTTTCCAAAGTCTCCCCGAGCCGGCTAAGATGTCCGTTAAACATCTTTACGATGTCTTAGAGGCGTTTCAAATTCTGCGTTAATTGGGAATGCTTGAAACAAATATTAAGTTTGTTAATTTAAGTTTGTAAAACTTTTAAATAGAGCGTAACTAAACAATCTTTTTGCACATAAGTTTTATATATTTGATAAAATAATGAGATTAATCAAAAATAATAATGGCTCAAAGTTATTAACGCATATTATGGTAAATATTCTGCCAAATTTTTTTTTTTCTTATGCGCATCAACATCTCAAAATTCAAGTTGAAAACAAATTCTATTCAAAGTTTGGTTTTTCTCCTTGTACTTGAAAGCCATTAACTAAATTTATATTCATTGTTATATTTTTAAATTCATACGGTATTTTCTTACCATTCAAAATTTTTAAAAATTTATTGCCTCCTCAAATTAAAGGGGTTCAAACTTAATATGATCATAATTTTTAACGCTAAGAAATTATTTTATAAAATGTGTGTGTGTGTGTGTGTGAGAGAGAGAGAGAGAGAGAGAGAGAGAGAGAGAGAAATAGACATAACATACAATAATACTACCACCATAGATTCATCTATTTAGCAGAGAAGAGTGCTAAGCATGAAAATAAAGTAGTTTAGGTTGTTTGTTTTTTTTTAATTTTAGTTGCCCCAAGAAGATCTAACAGTCTTGTCATAGAGCGGAAGAGCCTTTAAATAAGAAGTTCCTTACTTACCAATTGCATAAAATATACCCATAACTCGTTCGAACCTTGGATCACTTGCTTCTAAAGCAAGCGTTCTAACCAATTCGCAATGGCGTGTTCTATTTTAGTCTATAAAATAACTAATAGTATTTTTTGATTTACAGAAACATAAAAAACTTCTTTATATTTCATGAGCAAATAAAAGGCAAAAAAGTTTAAAAACTGGCTTCTTAGATAAACTAGACTTTTGCGGTAAATTTTGTCGCAAATATTTTGTTGTTATTAATATATTTATACTTTTTGTATTTGCTATGTGTTTTTTAGTTCATTTTTAATGCAATATTAAAAGTAGATATTTACCACTTTGTCTCACAAGGGTGTTTAGATTGCTTACACTCAAGCACAATGAACTGCTGCGATATTTCGGCTTTATAGTCGTATGACTTAGTTTACTTTATCAGAAAGTGAGCGAGTACATAGTGACTTCAGAAAGTTACATTTTATAAACTTTAAACTCCAATATGAAAAAAAATTGACTAAAATCAATTTTAACTTGACCCGCTAGTTTATAAAAAAAAGTACATTAAAGGTTTCAATAAAATATAAATGTCTATTAAAAAACATAGCGACTTACTTACAAATTATTTCTTGATAATTCTGTAAATTGCCATGGCAATTTATAATAGAGTTAATATCGAAAATGAAACTTTCTATTGTAAATTATGCAATAATAAAATGTTTAAAAACAAAAAAAACGTTTAGAGGATTTAATAAGGCAGACGCATGTAATAGTGCTTCTAATTAATGGTAAATAATGACTTTAGCACTGAAAAAGAAAAGTTTATCCAGTTTTTTTCATTTTCAAAAAAATAACGATGAAAAACAGAGTTTCGGAAAATTTCAAAATGAGGCTGCGGATGCTAAATCAAATAAAAGTTTATTGCTTGTAAGTCCTAAAAAAGTACGCTCTCAACCAACTTCTCCTTCTGTGTTAATGCGAAGTACCAAAGAGATTGAGGCAACGACGCCGGACAAATTATTAAATATCAGCCATATGTTTAAGATTGCATTGCGTTCACGAAGCAAAAATAACTTAATGGACGGTAAAGGAAGCCCATTCGAAGATTTAAGTAATGAAAAGAAATCAAAATGGGAAAAGATAAGCAAAAAATTAGGTAGTCGAGAATCTATTGATAGCATTGAAAATCAAAGCAACCACTCATTAAGAAATGAAAGATCTTTGTCTGTTGGGAGCACAGGTCCTACAAAACGACGATTAGGAGTGGATCAAAACTGTAGATCAAATTCTCTTTGTATTGACTTATTTAAAAGCAGTTCTTTTAAAGAAACAAAATCTTCAAATACAATTATATCAACCTTCACTGGAAAAAGGTAAAAAAAAATTAAATCTATTTAAAAAAAAAAAAAAATCAGTTAACGGTTAATACTAATTTTAATTTCAATCATTTCCGCCAAGGAAACAAACTTTTGTTAATAAGGAAACAACTTTTTCTTATAACTTGTTTTTTAAAACATTTTTTATTAAAATAATCTAAATAAGTAATTTAATCAAATTTTTATTCACTAGACATTCAAATACATTTAATTCTTGGTCAAAGTTCAACCAGCCGGAGCACATCTCTTCTGGTCCACTTTTGCATATTGCTGCTTCTAACGGAAATATGGAACTTTTGAAAACATTAAGCGACGTTGGCGTTGATCTAAACGAACACAATTCTGCTGGATGGCCAGCATTACACTATGCAATATGCTCAGGAAATTTCGAAGCGGCCCATTTTTTGATTAACAAAGGAGCATCCATAATTCCCTATTCAAACAGAGTAATTAATACTTTAAATTTAGATAAATTATAAAAGTAAAAAAAAAACACTTTTTTTAAAGTCATTTTAAATTTTCGTACAAAACTTATCAAACTAGTATAGCTGAAACTGTCATATTGAAAAGTTCGTTTATTAAAACTTTATTTTTGTTAAAGCTGAATATATATATATATATATATATATATATATATATATATATATATATATATATATATATATATATATATATATATATATATATATATATATATGAGTTTGAGTTTGATATATTCAGTAATCAAATTTATACATTTAAACCGCAATAATGCCGTAACAATAATTAAAAAATATATACATATACATATGTATATATTTAAATGTTAAATTATTAATTTGATGAAGAGACTTTTCTAGAGGTCTCTATGCTGATTTAACAGTTTATCGAAATCCGATCTTTAAATGCATTTAAAGATGGTGCGTTTACCGCGTGCTGTGAGAGAGAGTTCCAATGGACCGCAACTCGGTTTGTGAAAAAGTTTGATCTTTCCTCACACATCCTCTTACGAAATGACGATCGAGTTGCTTGTCATGGCCGCGTAGGTTGTACTCCTCACGCCCAATTAGTTGGTGCTGTGGGACCGTAAAATGAACTTCGTCATAGTTGTGGAAAATTTTGAATTGTTCTATTATATCACCACGCAAACAACGTTCTTTGAGGGTAGTTAGTTTGAGCACCTGCAGACGCTTTATTTTATCAAAATGGCTAATAGATGATATTGTCTAGGTGACGCGGTCTTGAACATCCTCAAGCAACTTAATGTCTGTTTCAAGATACAGGGACCAGGCTTGAATGACGAATTCTAGATGTGGCCAGACATAAGATATATAGAGTGTGCGCCACAAGGTTAAGTTTCTACTGCGGAAAGCATTTTTTAGTTTTCCTAACATGCTATTGGCTGTGGATGCTGCTTTTTTAACTTGTGCTCTGACTTTCAGATCGTTTGATATGAGAACTCCAAGGTCACATTCAATAGATGTAGTTGCAATAGTGTGGCGCATGCCATCAGCGGTTTCCATAGAGTAGTCATGTGATAAACGTTTATTAGGACGACCTGCATGCATTACTTTACATTTATCAATGCTAAAGTGCATGAGCTAAGTGTTTGACCATGTAACCGCATTATCAATATCTGCCTGAAGCGTTGTGTTATCCAATGCCGACTTTATGATCCCAATAATTTTGCTGTCATCAGCGTATAACATTATTTTGTGAACGATACTATCAGGAAGATCGTTTATAAACAAAATAAAAAGCAGTAGCCCCAAAACAGAACCCTGCGGAACTCCACTTGTGACGTTCTTCCACTCAGAAACGTGTTCTCCCAAGACAACACGTTGCTTACGATCTTTTAGACATAATTTAATCCAAAGTAGCAACTTTTTGTGAATGCCGTATGCTTTTAGTTTATGTAGAAGACGTTTGTGCGGGACTTTATCGAATGCCTTAGCAAAATCTGTGTAGATAATATCAGCACTGTAACCTTGATGCATAGCCTCGGTAAGTATGTCGCGAGCTTCGAAGAGGTTAGTCAGACATTCCTTTTTACGAATAAAACCATGCTGATTCTTGGAGATTAGATTGTTTTCCTCACAGTGAACCATAATATGTTCGTGAATTATTTTTTCCATTAATTTGCACGGTATTGAGGTGAGGGAGACCGGTCGATAATTGTAGGCGATATATATATATATTCATATATATATATATATATATATATATATATATATATATATATATATATATATATATATATATATATATATATATATATATATATATATATATATATATATATATATATATATATATATATATATAAATATATATATATATGTTATATAAATATATATATATATATTATATATATATATATTTATATAACATATATATATATATTTATATATATATATATATATATATATATATATATATATATATATATATATATATATATATATATATATATATATATATATATATATATATATATATATATATATATATATATATATATGTTGTATATATATATATATATATATATTATATATAATCTTTGAATGTCATTTTCTTGTTATACGTTAAAATATGGTTAGAATTCAATAAATACGGCTGCGTATAAACTTTTTTTTAAATATATATATACTTTTTCTTTAATATATAATTATTTCGATACTTCGCTGATCTATTGTGATCAGCGTCATCAGGTATAATAAACAAAATAGTTACAAAATCGTTATAGTAAAAACAAACCGTTAAAAAGATAACATTAAAAAGCCATAATATAATACAGAAAAAAACTTTTCAAACAACTGACGTCAGCAGATTTTATTAAAAAATGGGCTCCAGGTTTTGGTTGTTACGTTATCACCGTCATCCCGATTGAGAACCACGTCACCATTTCTCAACTCCTGTTGAACCCTAGCCTTGCTTATTTCGAGTGACTCTCTGATTTTCCGAGTTCGATATTCTGGGGCTACAGATAATGTTTTGGGGTGCAACCAATCAAACTTACCATGGCATGTTTTAGAATGCTCAGTTGCACCCGAGCTGGATCATTTTCCTTTGAAGCTGTTTTTTTGGTGTTCAATACATCTCGATATCACCTTCTTTTTAGTTTTGCCAATGTATATCGAACTGCATGAACATTTTAGCTGGTATACGCCAGGGTCTGTGTTTAGTGGTAGTTTAGTTTTATTGTTGCAGAAAATATTTTTTAAATTGGGAGTTGATGTTTATGTTTTGCTTTCGAAATTCTTTACGAAGTTTTGGACCAACAATTGGTATCCAAGGTAGTTTTATAAAGGGTTGGGTATCTATTTGTTGAAATGTAGTGTTTTTTCAACCGTTTTTTAAATAGTATTTAGTAATATTATTTAGAATGTTTTTGTCGTGATCATTTTCAACAAAGATGTCTATTAGAAAATCAATTTCTTTTTGAAGATGTTTTTGAGAACATATTTTTTTAGCACGACATAAAAATCCTTTGAAAACGCCAATAATAATGTTAGGATTAATGTTCGAGTTAGGTTTAAGTTGAACATTTGTAATAGCTTCTTTTCTATGTATTTGAAATTCATAAGTTCCAGAGCCTGTGTTTGTAATGTTAATATCTAGGAAATTGAGTTGTTTGAGGTTGTTTTTAATAAAATCTGCTGACGTCAGTTGTTTGAAAAGTTTTTTTTCTGTATTATATTATGGCTTTTTAATGTTATCTTTTTAACGGTTTGTTTTTACTATAATGATTATATATATATATATATATATATATATATATATATATATATATATATATATATATATATATATATATATATATATATATATATATATATATATGTATATATATATATATATATATATATATATGTATATATATATATATATATATATATATATATATATATATATATATATATATATATATATATATATATATATATATATATAATATATATATATAATATATATAACATATGTATATATATATATATATATATATATATATATATATATATATATATATATATATATATATATATATATATATATATTTATACTGCTAAGTTAGGTGAGCATGATGACATCATACTGAAATAGCCTGCTGCGGAAGCTTCAGTACATACATCGACTGACAAATAGCCTGACTCGCAGTGGAATGCTGCTACATCGACTGAGGGTTTGGTATGGGTCAGCAACCTTTTCATTTATTATTCTTCGTTTTCCCTCATCATTTTCTCAAAATACTCACTTAATTTAGGCTAGCAAAAAAAGAGAGCAATTGCGCATATAAATATGCTATAGTAGATATATTCGTCCCCGTAAGCATGATTTTTTTTTTGTAAAAAAATGTACCCGTAAAAAATTTTTATAGAGAACGAAAAGTACATACATCGACTGACAAATAGCCTGACTCGCAAGGGAGTGCTGCTACATCGACTGAGAGTTTTGTTTAGGCTTAGGGTTAGGGTTACGGCGATGTTTAAATTTGATTATATTATTGTAATTAATCTTTTTTGTAAATAGATGAAGTTAAAAATGAAGTATAATATAAAATAAATAAATAAAAGTTAATACAAAAAATATATTTTTATAATAAAATCATAAATTTAAATATGTATAAATAAAATAAAAATTAAATAAAAGTTTAAAAAATATATAAATATGATGAAAATAGTAAAAAAAAAAGTAAAAAAACAACAGAATGGGAACAAAAATAACATGGGCAAAAAAGTAAAATTTGCGCTCCTCCCCCTTAAAAAAATATTTAAACTAAAAAACGATTTATTGATCAAATTTATCATATCAAGTATAAATTACAATTTGTCATGAACACTGCACAAACTTCAGTTCAAGTTTACTTTTCTAGCTTTTTTTGATGCAAATTCACTAATGATGTCATCAAAATCAAGGTTGTCGATTACTTTATGTTCAATTGAAACTATAGTCAGACTAGATAAACGTTCTTGGCCCATAGTTGATCTCATGAGTTTTTTATAGGCTTAAGTTTACTGAATCTTTTTTTCACACGTAACAACTGTGACTGGTACGGTGACTGGTACGGTGACTGGTACGGTGACTGGTACGGTGACTGGTACGGTGACTGGTACGGTGACTGGTACGGTGAGGAAAATACGAATAGCAATCGCCGTGTTAGGATAAACATCAGTCAATAAATATTTATAAATGAGCTTCAAATTATCAATTGGGCTAGATTTTTCGAAGTTGTCCATCATTGCAGCAGCTTGATATTTAAAACTTGCCATTTCTGACTAAATATCAGAAGAATCTAAATCTGTTGTGTAAATCTGAGATAAGTTTTCGGCATTTGTCTTACGTTCATCCACTGAACTTTTAAATAGTGAATGCCTACAGAGGAAGTTAAAATCGGAGGATACAGCAGAGATAGACTCAAACCACCATTCAACTTGCGTAGTAATGCTGTCAAACACAAAATTGCACTGTGATCCGAATTCTGTTTTTGTTGTGAGGAGGTAAAAGTTGTCTTCAGCTTCATAAAGTG